GAATAGTTTATTTGGAGACATGGTAGAAGTATTATTTAAGAAACTGTTAAAATTGGAATTGTGAAATTATAGCATCAAGTCAGACATTTCATTTGGCTAAGATATCCCTGAAGCTTTGGATAAATATCTAATTTCTACCTGGGCATTTCTGTGGTTAAGCCTATTCCTGGGGAATCAGTTAAACCCCAAACTATATTTACAGCTCATTTTGATAATTATATTTCAGTATAATTCGTCTTCTTTACACTCCTATGTACTTTAGTTTGTGTTTGCAATATTGTTCCAATGAGGAGGCTAGAGACACACATGTCTCCCCCTGCTCCCCCCGCATGACTAAGAACTCCCAGAGTGGGGACTGTGAATAGCACCAATGAAGCCAGGTTGTCTGATCTAAACTCAGCTTTACACCACTTACTAAGCCTCTGGTTTGGTGCAAGTTTGTCATTGTCTATCCCAGTGTTTTTTAATTCTTTTAGCAGAGTTTGGAAGCCAACAGACTGCATTCACAACATGTTTGTCTTTCCCTAAAAGGTTTATAAAGAAATCAAGCTAATTCAACAAAATTAGATACTGGGAGATTTCACAAGAAAATATAGCTTGATAGATTTTTAAAAAATTTTTAATGCTTATTTATTTTTGAGAGAGAGAGAAAGAGAGAGGGAGAGGGAGGGAAAGAATCCAGAGCAGCTCCAGACTCCATGGTGTCACCACAGAGCCCGGAGTCAGGGCTCAAACTCATGAACCATGAGATATAATCTGAGCTGAAGCTGGACACTTAACCGACTGAGACACCCAGGCATCCGAGCTTGATAGATTTTCTTAAAAAAAAAAAAAAAAAAAAGAAAGAAAGAAAGAGAGAAAAAGAAAAATAACCCTGCCAACACTGGACCACAATTCTAAGTTGCAGCTGAGTTTTCAGATTCGGCTAATACCAGAGATCTCCTCTCTCTGTTTTGTCTTGAACTAGGCCACTCCATTCATGCATATTACCCCAACAGTTTCTGATCCTTATAAAGAATGTATAATATGTATAAGATGTATAATATGCCTTTTCCTTCACCATGCTTATAACTTTTCTTCCAGCCTTAACCCATACTTTGACACAATTCAATTATGCCCCCAACTTTTGATGGCTCACTCTCAACAAACAGCATTTATTGTATCTCTTTGGAATACTGATATTCCTATAAATTTCTATATGAGGATTTAAGCCTAACTGGGATACAAAAAAATTCATTATACTTCTATCTTCTTTTTTTAATGCCTTTCTTCTCCTATGTCCTGATTTTCTTTTGACTACACTCCAGTGGAAATTTGCTCTTG